ACTTAGCACAGTACCTGGCACATAATAAACACTCAATGACTTGACCTGACTCTGGGTCCCATGTAGTCATGACCAAAAGGCAAGATTTCAAAATAGAAGAAGTTTGCCTTCAACTTAAATCAAAAAATATTTATCAAATGCCTACTGTAGCAGGGTGTTGATAGGGAACTTGAATCAAGTGAATTCTCCCCATTCCACTTGATAAAATTAAAGGGAAGGGACCTTTGTTGGGAAGGGGAACCTCGCATGGAGCCAAACATGCATGAATCCCTGATTGGTTCCCATACCTGAGGGATAGCCTGAAAGATGATTGGCCAAGGAGGAAATAAGAAAGACCTTAGTTGGATTATAAAACTATGGAAAGCCAAGATCTTTTGGATGCATCTCTTTTGGGGCCTCTTCCACCATTTCCCATTAGACTTCTAGCAAGAGGTGGGTGTCATGGAGGGGATGGGGGATTTCTCTTCCTCCCAACCCTAAGGGCTAAGCTTAGGTTTAGGCTTGCCTAAGGTAGCCCCTTATATCCCTGGTGTCTTTCTTCTGCCCTTCTATTTCTTTCCCTGAACGTCAGTCAGGAACTATGGATCTTGAGAAATGGACATTTCTAGCTTTGACAATAACCTTGTATCATCACCAGTTGTTAAGCTTGGGTGCCGGCTGCCCAAAAGGAGATGAAAGCATAATAGCACACTTTTTGGAGAAGAGCACCATGACAGGAGAATCCTACAGCTGCAGGACTAAGGAAAAGCATTCTTAGCTGGTCAGGAGATCTGGATCTTGTGAGTTGCTTACAAGTGGGAGAATAATGAGTGTAATGGGCTATTTAAGATGTCTTGTTTCTTTATTTGTTAATACTCTCTTTTATTTCTCTATTTGTTAATGCTTGTCTTTTGTGTCTTAAACATATTCTGTGATGGAGGAAATAAACAACTGTTCTATACCTTGTAACACACCTTGTATATTGAGTGCCTTTAATAGAAGGGACTCTGTTACCCACATTTTGGGGAGATCCTAGGCATAAGTCATACTTAAGTTTTGTTTCCAAGATTTCCCTGGAGTTTAGTTTGGGATGAAGGTAGAGTCAGAGAAGGAAAAGCCTGACCATCTCTTTACACCCCTTTGGAGTCAGACTTCTCATCCTGAGATAAATCCTGGTTCCTTTGAGTGCATTTGTGGGGATAGGCTCTCCTGGGCCTTAGGGTACACTATTGTATGAAAACCATTGTACAAAGAACAGCTGGGAATACAAATGCAGAAATCCTAATGGTCCCTGCCTTCAAAAAAACTTATATTCTACTGGAGTACAACTAAATGAAATACAAGACAGAGTTTGGTTTGTTCAGTCCTATTTCCTTCTTCAGCTTATTTCACAAATTACGAAACTGAAGTAAACAGGGTTAAGTGACTTGCCCAGGGTCACATAGCTCATAAGTGTCCAAGGCCAGATTTGAACTCAAGAAGTTGAGTCCAGGCAGTGGATAGAGCCCTGGCCCTGAAGTCAGGAAGAACTGAGTTCAAATCTGACCTCAGACCAAACACTTGATGCTTACTAGCTGTGTGACCCTGGACAAGTCACTTAACCCGAATTGCCTAAAAAAAAAAAGATAGAAAGAAAGAAAGAAAAAAAAAAAAGAAAGGATATCCAGACAAGATTTTCTAGGAAATTCGAGGAGGGAGAAACCACTTTCTCCTGGGGGAATCAGGGAAGACTTTTAACTGGAGATAGAACTTAAGTTGAGATTTGAATGAAGGGATTTTAACAGGCAGAAATGAGAAGGAAGTGTTTTCCAGACATGATAGATGGCCTGTGTGAATTCAGAGGGGTTAGAACATTCAAGATACATTCAGGGAAGAGTAAAGTCTAGTTGGAGCATGATGAGCATGAAAGTGAGCAGTGAGAAATAAAGTTGGAAAGACAGGACACTTGAGGTTTATATTTTGGCCAATAGGCAATAGGGAACCTGAAGCAAAGTGGATATCACATTAGAATTGCTAGAGTCCCTGGATGACTGCATTCATTAAGCTTATGTCACCGTATTAGCTATGCAGAAAGGGAATAAGGTATCTGAGCTACCCAACCAGTGGCACTTAGCCCATAGATACAGATGCAGCTCTCCCTCCCTCCCCATCCCTCACTACTAAGCCCATGACTTCAGTGGTGGTGCCATGCAGTTTGATTCAACCTCCACTGACTGGCCTCAGAATTAATCAGAGAGATGAAATGGAGCATTATTCAGAATATTAAATTATAATATCTATACTAGATACGTTGCTCATGAGCATCTACTTGTCTTGGCTTCCCTCTCTGTTTATAACCTCACCCCATATTAGAAGATTCAGAAATTTAGCACACTGTGATTACATAGTTAATGGTACATAGCATAAAATGAAAGGAAATTAATCAACCCTCCCTATATAGATATATTTACCTCTAACCATCTCCTAAACCTCCTCCCATTTACCATCCCATATTTTCAGGTATCAGCAGGAAACATTCCCAATCACAAGCACCTGTAGTTCACTAAAAGGAATAAGAGAAAGAGGTGTGTGTCCCTGCCTCAGGATGATATACCATAAATGAGATGATATACATTAAACATAGTTCTCCTCTCAGTTCACTGGCCCCAAAGGATTTACAATAGCTGAAAGATTCAGCAACTTAGAGTCCACTCCCCTTATAGTTCCTACCTCCATCTTTGTTCCAGGATAAAAATCTCTCCTCAAGGTGCAGGTATCCATTTATCTTTCCTGATGGCTGCTCAGTTCTCTGGATGCAATAGACCTGACCAATCCTGATTACCTCAAAGAAGTCCAGAAGTCTGACTCCAAGGTCATCAGAACAAAGAGAACACAGCACACAGATCACATAGCTTTAAAATATCATGTGACTTCTTGCCTGTTGCAAGCCCACACACCCTAAAATCTCTGGGAAAAGAGGAAGGGCAAATGTTCTGTAATGTGCTAGGCTAATGAGAAATCCTACCAGTTTCTGTATCTGTTTTTGTCTTTCTCTCTAGTATCATGTCCCTCCCTCCCCCTGCCCCCCCCCAGCCAGGCCCAGGTAATTAACGATAGGTCAAGGAACTAGGACAATGCAGGGGCACAGGTTTTAGGGATGACAGGGTCAGATTTGTATCAGGAAGATTATTTTGCTGTAGTTCTTTCCATTTCATTTCACCAAGTTCCTACTTTTACCCTCACCCCAACTCTAACTTTGGATACCTTGTACTTTCCCTGGGAAATAATCTGGGCTCCTGACCTTCCCTACCATCTAAATCTTTTACTCCCCTATAGATCCTTCTGTAAACATTCTATGTCCTACCACTTCTGAGAGTTTTCACCCTGAGAAGGGTGTTGCCTTCTTAGGTAACATGTA